TGAAGTGGTTAGTAGGAAAAGGACCAATAGGTAGAATGCTGTTCCAAAATTAAAAATCTAGTGTTCAAGAAGGATAGGCCTTCTTGAGGATAATAGTCAGCACTGTTAAATGTATTAATTTCACAGTACCATGTAATGTATGTGAAAATGGCTCATTGGTTTTGGCAATACAAAACTAGTAATAGAAGAATTTGAATAACATTAACAAATGGAGATGAGGTAGCAGTTGCGTGAGAAGTAACATTGCAGAAAGTGAAAAACTTCTTACGGAGTGAGAAAAATGATGTATTGGAAATTTCAAAAAAACTGTAAAACATGCTAGTGATTGTTTTCAATATGTCTTCACAGAATTCAGAGGTGTCTGTGTTTGAAGTTAACATTCGATTCATTGGAGGACTGCTTGCAGCGTATTACCTTTCAGGAGAAGAGGTGAGAAAAATGAAGTCGTGCGTTGTTTGCTTTGAGGGGAGGAACTACAAAAGGATTTAGTAAAATGAGAGGTTTCTCCAGCTTTTTCTAACCTGAATGTTACTGAACTAATCTGTACATTTGCAGACAGAATTTAGTGCTTTAGGTGGAGCTGTTTCTTCAGAATAAGGATCTTTCTGTTTTTGAGAGTCTCAGTAAGACATAACTTTATCACAGACCCAGACTTTATCAGATCATACATCCTTTGCAAGAATGACCCTTCTCTAGGATTTTGAAATTGTGGTCAAATACACCGTTCAAATAAAGAGGGGAAAGAAACTTATTAGACTAAAATTAAAGACTGAATCAGGAAGAACAGAGATGAGACCAGATACTAATTTTTAAAACTTTGTGTTTGGAAGTTGTGTGCAATTTACTGCTGTAAAAAATAAAGTAAAACAGTGCCGCTCTGAGTTGTCCTTTCTGATTGTCTTATTGCCACATATGTGGGCATACGGAGACCTGTGGTGACGGGAAAATGAAAATGGACGAAAAAGAAATTTTATTACAGGAATGATTTAAAGAAGATGAGGTTGGAATGGAAGAAAGAACTAAGCTAGAGGTTATTTCTGTTCGTGTTTTGCTTTTGAGAAGCTGCTTTGCTTGTTTTTATTTTTTATTTTATTTATTTTTTTGACAACTCATACAGAATTTTACTTAACAAAGTAATATGAATTTCGCAGTATTTGTTGTAATACATGGTATTGTCTTACAACTAGCTATTCATATTACCAGATATTGGAAGAAGAAAAAGCTGGAGCAATGTATAAGAAATTAAGAAAAGAAAAAGTACAATTGATAAAAAGGAGATGAAGCTAATTAGAGCATTGACTGCTTCTTTCTATTTCCATTTTTTTTTCTTTTTTAAAAGTTTTTATTTATTTATTTAATTTTTTTTGTCCTGTCAGAGGTGAATATTCTATTGGCATCTAAATATTGTAGGTGTTTGAATTCAACTAAACATCTAATACTGTCTAGCAGTCTATAATATTAGTGGGTTATCCTCAGAAGTTATTGACTTGAGCTTTTTACTTGTTTGTGTTTTTAAATTGGTTTGTTGGTCTAAGTTAGTAAGAGTTCTAAGTTAGTGAAGATTCTTTTTTTCTTAAATATTCCTGTTATAAAGATGTATTTCTCTTTGCTTTGTTTTTCATTTGGAGGCGTTTCATTTCTTTTTGCAGTTAGCTATGTATTTTGGTATCAGGAATTACACCTGTGGCCTTGCACTTGTGGCCTCGCACTCGTGGCCTCACACTCGTGGCCTCACACTCGTGGCCTCACACTCATGACCTCACACTCCTGGCCTCACACTCCTGCTTCGCACTTGCTGGGCAGGCCCTGAGCTGCCATTGAGCTGCATCTCTGATCTAGTGTTAGCTTTAAACGAGTCATCTTTAGGAGCTTCCACACTGGGGCAGCTTGGGGATTTTGGTCTTCAGAAAGCCGTTTCTGTCTGTTCGCTAAAATAAAATCCCATTTTTTATGTAGGTTTCTATGCTTTTATTTTATCTTTATATTCTTGTGTGTGTATAAAAAGTGAGCTGTGTACTGTTTTTTTTTTTTTTTAAGAATTGTTTGAAGGTATTAGAATTTAAGGTAGTGCTATATATACAATGTTTATCATACATGGAGTGTCATTTCTTGGTCACATTTTAGTTTTTAAATTTGGTTGTACTTTGTATGTTTCTGAAGACAGAGGAGTTAACATTTTAATAAAATAGAGAAAAGGATTAGTGCTCTGGCCGAGAAAATTTTAAACTTGAGTATATTAGAATCAGTTTTTTTTAAAAAAAATAAGTATAGATTTAATAAGTATAGATTACACAAGACTGTTCAGATTAATGTGGAGGTTACACTACGTATTTTTTAGTTTAGTTTTTTTTTTTTTTTTGAGGCAAGTGCATACTTTTAAAAGATATTTTTGGAGATGGTTCACTCAAAGAACTCTGATCTAGCTCATTAGTAAAATTCAAATTAATTAGGAATTTTAAGTCAGGTGTATTTACATTGAGTATAATTCACACAGTGTCTAGCTCTGTGACTTTTGTTTGTAGCCTTGTGACCAGTAACATAAATAATAGAGAATTTTAATCAGGAAAATTCCCATTTATATTTTATAGTCAGCCTGCACTCTACTGCCAGCCTCTGGTAAGCACTGCTGTATTTGCTGTCAGTGGTTAGTTGTACTTGGTTCTTTTACTTAGTTAGCATAGTGCATTTGAAATTTATGTTTCTTTAAGAAGTTCATTCCCTCTTATTGCTACATAGTAAAAACACTGTGTGGATATAACAACCCTATCCCGAGTATTTGACTATAGAGTTTCTTATAGGACAGCATTCACTTCAATAAATACATAGCTAGTGCTCCTATGTAACAAAGATTAGTTTACATTTAACTTTATAGAAAGTTAGACTCTGCAGCAGTAATGTGAGTTTCTGTATATTTTTTAGTAGTTGTAATAGGTACATTGCAGCATCTCTTTGTAGCTTTGTTTTGCATATCCTAATGTCAAATGATATCCAGTGTCATTTTGTATACTTGTCATCCATGTGTCTTTTGGTAAATTATAAAAATTTTATACTACAAAATTTTTTCTTCTTACTGAATTTAGATAATTTTATATCTTATCCATTTTTATAATCTGCTTTTTCAGTGATGTAGCACTATCTTTTGAAAATAGGAAGAGGTTACATTTTTAAAAATTAACTCTTGGAACCCTTTTGATGTATACGTAATGATCACATTCATCATAGGGTATTGGTAGCTATACATAATATAGCTTGATTCTTCTTTTTTACCTCCGTTCTCCTCTCATTTCAAGCCTTCTTATTTACAAAAACTTTAATTTTTTTTTCTGTTCCCTTTTTCCCTTTTTCCTCTTCCCTCCTTCATTTCCTTTCCCATTTGAACATTTTCTTCCTGCTTCCCAATAGTGGCAGTCTATTGTTGTCCTCCTTCTTTACCCTTTAAGGTTTCTCTTTAAGAGAATGCAGTATTTAAACATGTGTGTCTACTTTATTTCACTGTGAAGTATGGTCTCAAGGTACCTCCATCTACCTAAAAATGTCTCAAGTTTATCCTTCTTTATGGCAGTGTAGAACTCTGTTGTAAATAAAAACCACATTTTCTTTTAATTTGTGTATTTGGTACAGGGTCTCTCTATGTAGGTTGGACTTATAGTGATCTTCGTGTCTCAGCCTCCCCAGCACTGGGATTATAGGCATTCACCACCACGCCCAGTCTCAGTCACTGGCTCAGGGCACCCAGGGACAGGACTGGTGCCGAATGGGGTTGAACCTCAGTCCCTGCTCTTGCCTACGCAGGTGCTTAGTCCTCTGAGCTATCTAGCCAGCTTCCCCCACCACCCCCTTTCTGTGGTACCAGGAATCAAACTTGAGATCTTGTGCTTGCCAGGCAGGCACTTAAGCTGCTGAGCTATACCTCCAGCCCCAAACCGCATTTTCTTTATCCATTAATGGAGATCCGCATTGTTTCCAAGATTTAGTTATTAAAAGTTGTGGTGCTATAAAGATGTGTGTGCATACGTTGCTGTGGTGTAATGCTTTGAACTGGTGGGAAAATACCAAGAAGGGTAATTGCTGGGTCAAAGGGAACCTATAGTTTTAGTCTTTTGAAGAATTGCTATACCAATTTCCACAGTGGTTGCACCAAATTACAGTGCCACCAACAGTGGAGAAAGCTTCTCCTCCCCCCACCCCCCAACCTTGCCAGCATTTGTTTTGGTGATCTCTTGAAAGAAGTGGTAACTGTTTTTTCTGGAGTTAGATAGAATCTTAGTGTTGTTTTAATTTGTATTTCTTGAGTGACCAGCAGTGCTGAAAATTTTTTCATGTATTTGTTTGCAGTTTATACTTTCTCATGTGAGAAGCATGTGTTCATTTCCGAGGCCCTGTTTTAGATTGGCTCTTTACGTTGGAGAGAGCGCATGGTTTTGTGTCCTCTGTGTATTCTAGATGTTTGTCCTTTGTCTGAGGAGTTGTTTTTGCATCTTCTCATCATGTGTTCCATTGATCTTTGGATCTGTTGTTTTTTTTTTTTTTAAATCACAGCAGCTTTATAGTATAATTTCAACTCAGGGATTGTGTGCCCCCTGACTTGTCTTTGTTGCCCAGCATTGTTCTTGCTATTCTAGGTCTCTGGTTCCAAATGAATTTTAGGAATGTTTTCTTGACTTTGTATGTGAAGTATGCTAATGGTATTTTGATTGGGATTGCATTAAATCTTTATAGCAGTTTTGAAAGCATGACCATTTTCAGTGCATTGGTTCTTCCTATCTAGGAACAAAGGCTATCTTTCTGTTGTTTGATATCCTCTTGAATCTCCTTTTGAGAGCCCTGTAGTACTTTTTATATCTTTTGTTAGATTGGTTTCTAAGTTTTTTATTCTCCTTGATTTTTTTTTTTTTTTTTTTTTTTT